TGCTGTGTTGGACATTGTACCAGGTTGCAGTCCTTCCCACAGATAGAAGTCTCACTCTTTGAGGGAGTCAAACATCAGAGAAGTTGAGAAACTGAACTCGACCAGTCTGCATACATTGTAGAATACATATCTTTGACTCCAAAGTATATTGCTTTTTTTCTTTTTGCCTTTTGGTATTTTGGCCTCACACAGATGTTAATGTGTACCTCTGTTACTTCCAAGAATTCCTGTGTTCTATTTACTCACTGTTGTAGTTTGGATCTTAAATATCTCCCAGAGGCCCATGTGTTAAAGGCTGGGTTCCCAAGGTGGTGCTTTAGAGGTGGTGGAATCTTTGAGAGGTGGAGCCTATTGGAAGGTCCTCAGGTCATTGGGGGCATGCCCTTGCATGGGGTAATGGGATTCCAATCCCTCCCTCTCCATTTCTTTTTTGCTTCTTGGTCATGAGGTGAGTGGTTTTGCCCTGCCACGTGCTCCTGTCTTGGTATGATGCCATGATGGGGCCTATTGATCATGAACTCAAACCTGCAAAACAATGAGTCAAAATAAACCTTTTCTTTTTATGAGTTAATTACCCCAAGTATTTTGTTATAGCATTGGATAGCTGACTAACACACCACAAAGTCCATGTTTTTTAGATCAAAAACAGATCTTTTGTCTAACAGATGGTTTATTAGGTAAACAATATTCCCTATTGATTAAAAAAGCACTGGAGTATCCTGTGTGTATTAAGTGCAGCTAGAGTAGATTGAAAGGGAGGTAAAAGTTGAGATGAGGCCAGAGAGGTAACAGGGATTATGAGTTGTCTCTTAAATCATTGTGAGGACTTTGTTGCTTCATCTGTGGGAGCTGGGAGCCACTGGGGGAGACTTGGGATTTTGAGTGGAGCTGTACTATGGTTTGACTTATGGCTGCATCAGGATCACTGCTGCATGATTTAAATGGGTAGACATAAAATCAGGAAGGAGTCTGTGGATATTATCTGTGATGGCTAATTTGTGTGTCACCATGGCAGAGTCACAGTGTCTAGACACATGGTCAAACACTGCTCTGGATTTCAGTGAAGGTGTGTTTTGGATTAACATTTGAATTGGTGGACTTTGAGTAAAGCAGATTACCCTACATGATCTGAGTGGGCCTTCTCCAATTTTTTGAAGTCCTGCATACGTCAAAGACTGGCTTCACTTCAGCAAGAAGAAATTCTGTCATCACATGAACTGGTACATGAGATGTGGGCTGCAGCTCTTCCTGGGTCTCCAGTCTGCCCAACAGATTTTGGACTTGCACCTCTATGATGGTGTGAGCTAATTCCTTAAAAGTAAATCTCTCTGTACACATGTCCTGTTCTGGTTCTCTGGAGGACACTGACTAGTACATCATTCAGGCAAGACATAGGATGGTGTATTGGACCAGAAAGGTAGTCAGGGGTGGTAAGCATGGTTGAACTGGGGATATGTTCTTAAGATAGAGGTGAGGACCTTGTAGCTGGGCCAGATACAGGATGTGAGTGGGGAAGTTGTAGGTGGCAAGAAGATTTCTGGCTGAGCAACTGGAAGGTGTTGCTATCAATGGGGAGGGCAAAACTGCAGGAGGATCTGCTCTGTATGGGGGTGGGGGGCTATACCAGAAGTTTGACTTTGAAATGCCTGTTGGCAGTAAATGCAGACAGTCTAGGTTGAGTCAAGTCTGATTGGAATTAAGACATCTGAGGGTTAGGGCTTTGGGCTTAGTGGGGTGAGACCACTCAGACTGCAGGTGCTAAATCCTGGTGGGTGGGTGTAGAGTGAGAAGAGGTCCACAGCCCATGCCATGGTGCTTGGTGTTCAGAGGTTGTGATGGAATGAGCAAAGAAGACTGGGCAGGAGCTAAGGGAAGGGTCAGGAAAACCAGGGAGTGAGACTCCCAGGAGACAGTGGCTTGCTTTATATCCTGAGTGTGAATCTCTTTGTACTTTATGGGAGTATTATATGGGTTGTTTCCCTGCAGAAGAACTTATTTAAGACAAGTTGTCACTAAATCTCTACCACTTAGTGCAGTCCCTATCACATAGTATTAGTGCAGATATTTGTTTGAATGAATGAGCTGCATTAGTAGGTCCTAGGTATTGGGTGCTTACAGTATGCCAGGAGAGTTGCATTGTGCCTTGATCTTTGGCTGTATGTGTGAGTAAGCCAGTGAAAACTAGGGGATCCTGACGACTGTGCTGTACTTATTTCCAGAATTACAGTGCAGCTCACTGTTTCCATACCACCACCCTAGGCCAAACCATGGTCATCTCTTGCTTGGATTATTATAAAAGCCCACCATTTCTGGCTTTTTGTTTTTGCATCCTTGCTTACTAATGATCTGTCTAGCACTTACAAGAATTTTTGGCATGAGGTCCATGTGGAATGATCACACTAGCCGTCTTTGAGTACCTGTGTGACTCTGGTGGGGAGACTGCCTTTCCCAGTGTTGCTTAATTGGTACCTGTGTCATCTGCCGCTCTCTTTCCTGCACTAGGGCTATACTTGCATTTTTCTCTCTGTCTTGAAGATTCCAACTCTATTCCCACCACTCAGCTTGTGCATTTTCTCTTCCTACTGTGTCGATTGTCCTCCCTCTTTATTTTCCCTGTTTTTTTTCCCCCCCATGACAGGCTCCTTGCATCATTGGGGCCCTGTTCAAATATCTGCTCGTTAGAGAAATTTCATATGACTCCCATATTCTTTAATTCCTCCACCTTCTTTTCCAATCTCTCTAGCTTGTTTCACCTTTCTTCCTCTAAGTACTTATCACATGCCAAATGCTTGTTTGTGATAGCCAAAAACTAGTTCTGCCAATCATCTTTGCACTTGTGTGATTATGGCTTGGTGTCCCCTCCCCTACCCAGGGAGACCAGAAAGATTCTGGCTTGTAGATTTGGATGGTTAGAGAGTGTTGTCATTTACTAAGATGGACAGGGCTATTTTTTTTATATTTATTTTTTAGTTGTTAGACACAATACCTTTACTTTATTTTTTTTATTTTTATGTGGTGCTGAGGATCCAACCCAGGGCCTCACACGTGCTAGGCAAGCACTGTACCACTGAGCCACAACCCCAGCTCTGGACAGTGCTACTTGATGAAGTGTTTGAAGAGCTGTACTTATTACTGTGTGTGTCCTGGGCATTGTCTTAATGGTGTATGTTTTGGCTGATTTCTCCCTTGAATTTTGTTCTTTTAGAAAAGAAACCTTTATGATTGGTGGTTTTGAGCATGTTGATTTTCATTTTGTTTTAATTTTGAGACAGGGCCTTGTCAAGTTGCTGAAGCTGGCCTCGAGCTTGCTATCCTCCTACCTCAGCCTCCCAAGTTGCTAGGATTATAGGCCTGGGTTACCTTGCCTTATGGTAATTATGTTGACTTTGAGGAGATGTTGAGTAGGCAACTTGTTATTTTACATTTGGATCACAGAAGGTAGGTTTGGGCAGGGCAGGTGAGATAGAGTGCTTCCCTTCTGTTAGTTAGTTAGCTCTTGCTGGGTGAGCCACTTAATCCCTCTGAGGCAACTTGCTCCTCTCTCAGGTGAGAATAATATCACTCACTGATTTACAAGGGTAGGATTGAATGGGAAGGCACACATGTTCCTGGTATGTAGAGGACTTACTTTAACATTATTTCATGGGTTGGGCTGGTCAGGAGTGCTGTGGTTGGAGAGTCTGTTGAGTCCTGTGTAGAGCTCTTTCCCGTGAATGTCTTCACTTACTTCTCATTGTTCCCTAGCTAAATGCTTCTGTGACTGCTCACACCACCTTCTCTTGATAAAATATACCTGCAGAGTTCCTAGTCATCCTCCCCCTTTGTTGTCCTTTGTATTTTTTAATATTTATTTTTTTAGTTATAGGTGAACACAAAGTCTTTATTTTACTTTATGTGGTGCTGAGGATCGAATCCAGTGCCTCATGCATGCTAGGTGAGCACTCTACTTCTGAGCCACAACCCCAGCCCTGTCCTTTGTATTTTTGACCCTAATTCCTTTGCCAGCTTTAGGTATTATAAATAGTCAGTGAATAAAAACCTTGATCTATTAGTATTCAGGAAATTATTTGTGTTAAAATTTCTATTTTATTTGTTGATTTTTTTCCAGAAACAACTCTATAGTTTTAAATTTCATAAGCTAAGACTTTCTTAAGAAGCACTGTTATTAGGTTATTGCCAATTACAAAATGAGAGAAACTCAAAACAGAGTGTATTATTCTATTCCCTTCTAAAATCTGGTTGTAAGATGGATTTTGGGTGACAGGTGGCCTGGCATGCATTCTCATCCTGGAATGACACAGCTCTCTACCTCTTCAGTCATGATGGTATATACCTGTAATCCCAGCTGCTCAAGAGGCTGAGGCAGGAGGTTCAAGTTTAAGGCCAGCCTGGGCAGCTCAGTGAGATCCTGCCTCAAAATAAAAAATGCAAAGGGTGTGGAGTCGAGTATCCCACACTGATAGAGGTCAATCCCCAGTACCTCAAGGTGGGGAGGAAAGAAATGGTACGGGTTTTAATATTCTAGGTTTTTTTTTTTTTTGATTTTTAGTTGTCAGTGGACCTTTACTTTGTTTATATGCAGTGCTGAGAATCAAACTCAGTGCCTTACATGCTAGGCAGGTGCTCTACCACTGAGCCACAACCCAGCCCCAGGGTTCCAGTTCTTTAACGAAAGAATAAATTTGACTAATGCATCATTTTCTACTTTAATTAAATTATTAAAATGTAAAATTTTTATATATTAAATAATTTGCTATTTTATTTTTTTTGAAGAGAGAGAGATAAATTTAATATTTATTTTTTTAGTTTTTCTGCGGACACAACATCTTTGATTGTATGTGGTGCTGAGGATTGAACCCTGGCCGCACGCATGCCAGGCGAGCGCACTACCACTTGAGCCACATCCCCAGCCCTAATTTGCTATTTTAAATGAGTATACATTGTCAAGATTGAAAGTTTTTCTGAAGTAGGATAAAAAAATCCATTTATTTTTACTGATACACTGTAGAGATGTTTTTAATACTTTCCTTTAATGTTAAGATAGAAAATAAGTAATTAAAAATGAATCTGAGTCAGGATAAAGCACTACTTTGTTTGTAAACTGCAGGTTATTTCCTCCCTCAATGCCCCCTTCCCCTGTCCCCAGCCGAGAATGATATCACATCATGGGATATTTACATCATTCCACTGTTATATTGTATAGATAGGATTCACAGTAATCATTTATTTTATACATAGCCTATTTTAGAATAACTAACTAAGCTAACTAACTTAGAATAACTAACTTAGCTAACTAAGTTTCACACAGAATATATAAAAATCCATACTAAATTGCCTTGGTTCCTGTGAGATGTGTTTGAAGGATAAGAAAACACTTTAAACATTTTAAAAAAATATTTAGGAAATAATTTAGTTAGAAGCATACTGTTCAGTGAGAACATTACATGTTTAGAGTGGTTAAAAAAGAACAGTTTAAAACAGGATACTCATCCATGGGAATTTTAACTTCTGACCTCATGACAAAGAAAACTGAAGTCACATCGCTTTTGTTTAATGTTAGGAGTATTGGTTCTTGGATGGCACACGGAAGCTTGGTTATAGGAACCTTAACTTGGTGGGTAGTAGTACGGTAGGTTCCATGTTCTGTACGAGCATGCTGGGAACCTGTTCTTGCTGTTCCTGTCTACGTAACTTGAGATGGTGGGTATTTCATCTTTTTCTGGACTCTTGGAGCTTTCACCTGGGAGTGCTGAGGTGGGGGGACAGCCTGTGTCCCAGGAGTGCTGTGGGCCCTCCTGCCGAGTCCCTTTGTCAGGACTACTGAGGAAGTCTTTCAGAACTTGCTTGAAGATGTAGACTATTTCCCATGGCAGCACATCATTTTCTGCTAGAACTTCTCGAAATCTAGGGGGAATGCAGGAATGAATATCCAATTCAGACAATTTTTTTTGTCACGTCCCTGCAACTCCAAGTATAGCTTACATAATGTGATCGAGACTAGTTACCCACCTTTTGAGTAATCTGTACGTAGCTCTAAAATTATGCTTCTAAGTAAAGATATTTTGATTCTAATTGAATGTCCTACCAGAGAGATATCCACAGATATTTTTATCCAGCTTATCTCTAGGGATTTTGGTATGTGGGTATTTGGTATGCATGATTAAAGAATTTATGCATTAGGTTACAATTTCTCTAAATATGTGAGGAGCTTAGACCTGGGTGTAGCAAATATCAGAAGAGAACACAGTATATTTACCTGCTGAGAATAGTTCCAGTTTGGCAAGGATGAACTTGTGAACAAAGAACTTCGAGTTGTCTTTGCTCTGCAGCTGGGATGGTTGTATGGGGACTCTGGTAGTTTCTAAGCCAGTTATAATCCACACCTGTTTTTTTCACTTTTTGCTCATTTTCAATCTCTTGTATGAATCTTTCTCGCTCCTTTAGATGCCATTTTAATTCCCGAAGCAGAGTCTTTGTCACTATATCTGAGTCAGCATAGTGTGTAGGTTTGTAGGAATTGTTTTTTGGCCATTTCATCCAACCAAAGAATGGCATTTTTAACCTGTGGAAATAGTCTCACTTGTTTATGTTTATACAGTTTTATAGTTCTGATCAGCAAATATTTGTTTGTTTATTTGAATAATAAAACTGTCAAAAAAGTGCATAAGTTTTTCAGTGGCTAGATATGCAGGTCAAAATAAGATTAGAACATGGATTAAAGTCTTCAAATTTCTAACTAGGCCAGTGCCAAAAATCAAGCTTTGAAAATACTTTTATGTAGCTAAGCAGAAGTTAAATACATAAAGTCAGAGATAATCTACAAACAATAATATCTGAAAGTAACACTTGCTATTAAAAGTTCTTCAGAGGCTTTAAAATACCAATGTATTGGAAAGGGCTGTCAAAGACATACTTTTGGTCTATGCTTTATACAGAAAAAGCTTAAAGCTTACCTTCCAAGTTGATGGATCTGATGTGGGGATGCTGCCACAGTGTACTCAAATTGATGATGAAGCTGTGTCTCATTCAGGCATATCTCGTTCTCCTGGATTTTCCTCTGTCGAATGAGCCTCCTGATTTGCCCCCTGAAACTGTATTTGAAATAAATAACTTTCTGTGTTAGGAATGAAGTTGTGATGTCTTCTTTTGGAGAGACTGCTCATTAATTCACCTTGTAAGTAAGCTAGAAGAAATGACAAAAATAACTTACTATTTAATTTTCCCAAATTATATAATGGCCTGCCTTTTGAATGCAGCTCATTCTATTTGAGAAAGATGCCGGCAGCTATGGATACTGGTCCCAAATGCATTCTGACATGTCTTTGGTAGTGACGAAGAACATCGTCTGAAGCACCACAGATGCGCTCCTAGCTGGAGTGAAGACTGTCGCATGATGTGATGCTTTGCTGTGCATAGCTGTAGGTCACAGTTTAGTGCTGTATTTTTATGCCTGTAGAGCTCTAAAAATAACCATGTTGCTTTTATTCTTCAGCTTAACTTTCAGGCCATTTAGAAGCCAGGTCACTGTCCCCTCTAATGAAAGCAGGAAAAATAGATCAGATTTGACTATCTGCAAAATACACACTCCGAGAAGTTTTGTTGTAATTGAACAAAATAGGTAAAGCATGCTGATATCAGTCATGTGAAATATTTAGCAAATGTTATGTTCAATATTACTTTTCTTGCAGAATAGTTAGATTTGTATACTAAAGCAAGTTTAAATGCTAGAGGACATTATAAACACTTAAGTAGGCAACTTTAACATGCACTTGATAATCTCTGGATATAACATCATAAGGCAATAATCGGTTGTTAGGAAAAAAAGAAATAGATGTAAGAATATTTAGTTTAAAGTGAAATCTTATAGTTCCTCATAGAAAGCATTTTGGTGTTTTGTCTTAGAGCTGCCGATGAAGCATGGGTTAGGTGAGTCTTGGTAGGCAGTGCTTTTTATTGTGCTGATTTTTTCTATTCAGTATTCATCTTGGGGAAGAGTAGATAGAGAAGAAAGGTCTCTGGCTCTTTGTTAAGCAACTACACAGTGATTTTTTTCTTTTGTAATTTTTGTTTTTTTTCTGTTGCTTTTGTTTCCAATGAGCCGTGAAGAACAGACACTGTTCACATCAGACCTCCGTGTGTGGGATGGTCCTGAGAAGCTGGATGTCAGGATCCATTACCCTCACTCAGGCTTTACCTTGTGCTGCATGCAGCACTCTGAGAAGGGAAGAATGAAGTTTATCGTGATAGAAACATCCTGCCTGATTTTGTACTCAAATTGCAATGACCCTTGCCTTCTTCCTTTGAATCGCCTTCTTGTTACCGCTTTAAAATGTCTTTCTTCTGAAATGGTGATGAAAATATAACAGTATATTGAATATGGACAGAAACCAGGTTTCCATTTGAGGCTCTATGCAGCCTTGTTATCCCTTCCCACCTGGCTCTTTCCTTGCTACCACCCCAGTGCCAGGCCTGACTGTCCCACACTTTTGCTTGCTTTTGATCCCTCAGCTCTAATTACACTGACTCTTCTTAAATGCTTATTCTTTCTCAACTATGTAGTCATACCATAATTCTTTTTCAGGGGCCAGTTTGAATACCAAATTCCAATTTAAAAAATTTTTTTGTCAGTACAGGGGATTGAACAAACGCAGAGGTGCTCTATCACTGAGCCATGCTCCTGACCTTTTATTTTTTTTTATTTCAAAACAGGGTCTAAGTTGCTGAAATTGGCCTCGGACTTATGATCACCTTCCTCAGACTCCCAAGTTGCTGGGAGTATAGACGTGTGCCACCATGCCAGGCTCACAGTTCTTTTCTTATCACCTCAGCTCACAGGGAGTAACCTTCTTTTGAACTTACTCATATAAACCAGTTTTTGTAGCACTTGTTGTATGCTACTTGTATTGTTCCAAATTAATTTCTTTCTTTCTCCTGATGTTATATTGAAGTAGAGACCACATATCAATCTCTAGTGTTCCTCCTACTAATATGTAGATCAAGAACGTGTGTGTTTGAAGATTGAAATAAGGAAGTACTTTTAATGAATATTTTCTGTTTATAAGGGTAAAATCAGATTAACATTGGAATTTATTAAATATTTTATTGAGTTAAATGAATTACTTCTAATGAATTATAACACTATTAGGATATTTTATGGGAAGACAGAGCTTGAACTATTAAAAAAAATCAGCTTTTGGTTGTCACAGTTTTCTAGGCATATCTTGTTAAGCTAAATGGTATAAAATTTTTAAAGAGTCCAAGTAAAATAGGGCCATGTTGTTCGTGCTGGGTGTATATGTAAAATTTCTAGAGGTATAAGGAATTATACAGAAAGGTAAGTCTGGAAAAATAAAATTAGGGAACCTTGCAAGGCAAACAGGAACAGCTTTTTAGATGGTATAATCAAAGTCATTAGATAAAGTATTCAATTGTTAGATTGCAAATAAAGAATTTTCATTATGGGGAGACTAAACTTCTGTTTTTTAATTCCTTTGCTATGGGATTAAAAGTTCTGGATTACTTTTTTTTTCCAAGTTAAAAATCATATTTCTGGGCTGGGAATATAGCTCAGTTGGTAGACCGCTTGCCTCACATGCACAAGGCCCTGGGTTCAATCCTCAGCACCATAAAAAGAAAATATAACCCCACATTTTTATGAGGGATTGTTTTTATAAAAACACTTTAAACTACAAGTATAAGGAAATTCAACATAAAAAAATGCTACATATGAAGCCTCTAATTTATGTCGCAATCAATAATGAATGACTGAAAACTTTCCTCTGAGATCAGGAACAAGGCAAGGATGTCCACTTCTACCATTTTTTAAAAAATTTTTTTTGTAGTTATAGATGGAAAGTATGCCTTTATTTTATTTGTTTATGTGGTGCTAAGGATCGAACCCAGTGCCTCACATGTGCTAGGTAGGTGCTCTGCCACTGAGCTATAGCCCAGCCTCTGCCACTTCTATTCAGTACAGTACTGGAAGTTCTAGCTAGATCAATTATGCAAGAAAAAGAATAGAGAAAGTTGTTAATACCAAGAAGGAGTCACTGTATCAAACTCAAAGAAAGTAGAGTCAGGAGGTTCTGTATGAAGGGAGAGCCCTGGTGCACATGCCTACAGATAAGAACTATAAAAGATTATCTGAAGGGCTCCTATGCATATAAGAGCTTTCGCCAAGGCTTTTCCAGATTTTAGCTTGCTACACAAGTCACAAGGACGGCTAGCCAGATACACAAGAACACACACCTGAAATGAAACACTGTCTTCACTAATGAACTAAGTCACTTCCTATGATAAGTGCCTGTAGCCCATGTACTCTTTGTCACAAAATAACTTTCATGTATTCTTCTTTTCATCTTTAAAAACCCTTGTCTTGGGCTGGGGGTTTAGCTCAGTGGTTGAGTGTTTACCTAGCATTCGTGAGGCCCAGGATTTGATCCCCCGTGCCACCAAACCAAACCAAATGAAAACAAAAACCTTGTTTTTCTTCACCTCCCTAAGTAGACCCATACTTTGTGTGTTCATTTTTCATTTGCACTTGCTATGCTCATTTCAAATTGAAATCATTATCATTGGAAAATCTTTTTTGTTATTTATGTTGACAAAATGAAAGTCATTGAATTGAATAGTAAGGAGTAAAATTATCTCTCTACAGTTAATGTGATCTTACATGGAGAAAGCACTAAAGGATCCACACATACAAAAACCAGTGAGAACTAATAACAGGTAACAGGATACAAAGTTAACACACAAAAATCAGTTGTATTTGTATACACTAGAAATAAACATAAACAACACCAAAAAGCATAGAATACTTATGAACCAAGAAAGCAAAAGATTCATCTGATGAAAAGTACAAAAGATTGCTTAAAGAAGGAACACAAGTGGAAATGCCCCATATTGATGGGTTGGGAGATCTAATATTGTTTAGATGTCAGTTCCACAGCTTTATTGCAATCTCTTATCAAAAAATCTTGTGATGTATTTTGCAGGAATAGGAGAACCCATCTTAAATTCATATGGGATCTTAAGTGACTTTAGATAGCTAAATCTGTCTTGAAAAAGAGTAAAACTGGAGGTACTCACATTTCCTAATTTCAAACCTTACTACAGAGCTATAGTAATTAAAAAAATGTAGTGCTAGAATAAAGGCATACATTCCAATGGAGTAGATTAGTGAAAGCCCAGAAATAAACCTTTGCATATATGGTGGAATGATTTCTGTAAGGATGCCAAGACCATTTAAGGTGAAAAGACAGTTTTATTTCCCAACAAATGAAGTTAAAAACAAAACAAAACTGGATATCCATAGGCAAAGAAGGAAATTGGATCCTTGCCTTTTGCCATATAAAAATTAACTAAAAATAGATGAAAGACCTAATGTGAGACTTAAAACTGAAACTCTTAAGACTTCATGTCATTGGATTTGGCAGTGATTTCTTGCATATGACACTGAAAACCCAAAGAATAAAAGAAAAGAATAAGTAAGTTGGATTTCAGGAAAATTAACATTTGTACGTCAAGAGACCGTTGGCAGAGTCAAAAAGCAGTTCCTG